GATTTAATGTCGAAGTTAGTTACTTGCGAGAAACATTTCTGATTTAGCCCGCACAACTTTCATAAGACAGCACTTTTATGCTTTGAATGATAACGCCATTTGCTGATTACGCACATCAATCTGTACCCGCTAAGGCATTAGTTAGACCACAACACATTGCAATTATCATCCGCTTAACGCGATCAGCAGCCAAATTACATTGAAGGCCAAATCCATTGAGACATGCAACACACACATTGGCCAGCCTGGGGCAATCAACTTTAAATTGTTTAATGAACACTTAGAACGTTTCGATTGCGATGGCACAAAACAAACACATCTTCCGAAGGCCATGGGGTGAAAAACAGAGGGACTGAGTGCGGACATTCGCCGGTCATCGCCCACATAAGTCGCAATGGGACGGCAGAATAAACAAACAAAATGCTTGGTCCTAACACAGCCATTGTGGCTAACGCCAACGGCCAACAGTCTGCAGTCCTTCGGGCCAATCTCCTGGGCCAGCACTAGAAAAATAAACTCGAAAGCTGAAATTTGTTGAGGCAACATCAAGTTTGGCTTTCCACAGTTCTATTTTCACAAATAATATTTCTTGATTTTTATTTGCTTTACATTGGAATTAGTTGACTTTCAAAACGATTTAGAATCAACTTTTATATCGTCCATAAACAATTACTAAAACAGCCACTCTCTTAGCTGCTACTATTATGGTATTTGATTTTTTCCCAGTGTAGTTTTGACTGTGTTTGGGTTTGGTTTCGGTTGTGCCTTCCAGGACTGCAACATTTGAATGTGGCTGTTGCCGGGGCAACCTCAGTACGGAAGGCAGAAATTACGTGGCAGCCACAAGGCAATTTTGTGGCGTGCGGAGGGAAGGGTGGAGGGGGCAGAGACTGATGTCCATCAGCGTGAAATGGCCAAATGACATTTGAAAAACTAAAAACAGCAGCGGGAACAGCAGCGGGAACAGCAGCTGGCAAGGACCGCAGTCGACAACTCCGGACTGTCGACATGCCTGCTGCGCACTCTCCGGGGTTCTTGGGTTCCGGAATCCGTACTCCGGACTCCGGACTCTAGACTCCGGACTCCGTAGACGGTGACCGAACAGCTACATCGCATCCGCCGTACAATAAGGGCGAATTGATAAAGCTGACCGCAGATTCGTTGTGCATTAGGTTCCTTTTATGGCCGAATCAATCATAATCAAAGCCGAGTGCCACTCGATAAATTGATATGCTGAAGTTTATTGCATTGTCTGCGAAAGTTATGGCCCCTCAGTGAAAGTTGTGCTATGCCAAAATCTTCAAGACATCGTAACATGGCAGAAACAGCGGGCTAAAATAACCATAAAGTTGAATTAACTCAGCTGATACATGAAACTGAACTGGCATAAAGTATTGCTTTTAAAACTAGCCAGCTCGCACTAAAATAAGTACAGAATTGGCAAAAGCTTAGGAAAGTAGCATGTTAAGCTGTGGATAAGTCAAAGGAATTTTGCAATAACAAAGTAGCCTTAAAGAAGAGATTAAGTTATTCCAGCAATTTACCTTCCCTCTCCTTTTTTTTTCCTGAGTGAGTGCTACTAGGAGGTGCGAATATTTTGGCACTCGCACCCAATACATACACGTTACATACACATACGAGTACCTCCACTTCGCAACCCCACAATTGTCCATGGAGCCACTGGGGGATTATTTATGGAATGGATTTGCTTTGTTTCCCACGAGTGCCGCGTATAACATGATATATGCCCCCGGCTGGTATGAGATATAGCTTGACAAATACTTTTCAGCATACAGCATGCAGCATACAGCAAAGAGCGTTTCCTGTCCACCGCCCATTGCGAAGCGAAAGCCCCTTTGGCTGTTGCACATGCGGCACAGATTTTAGTTGTTTTTAGTCTCGGACTAAATTCCTGCAGCCCGGGTGTTGCTAACAAAAAAATATATATATGGTAGAGGGAATCTACTAAAAACTGCAGCTGCAAAAGGGAAAATAATGGCGGAAACTATAAAGCATTCCGTAACAGTTTTTTTTCCCCTGCTCCCGTTTCTATTTTCGCCCGTTGCCGTTTTCATTGTTAGTGTCCTTGTTGACGTTGGTCCTGCAGCCGCCTCCTTTCGCCTTTTGTGCGAACTGAATGGCTCTGATGTTGCAGCTGACGTGTTGCAGGTTGCCGCTGCTGCCGCTGCTGCCGCTGTTGCTGACGGAAAAAGTGGAGTTGCTGCTGCTATTCCTATTGTTGCTGCCGCATCGTCTGCTCATTTTTATTTAAAACTCAATTGGACGAATTTCAGCCCCGGGTCGGAGGATCAGGCAACAGGCAGCAACAATGGAGCCAATTTGTAGCAAGTCCGACTGACGCACAACAAGCCATCATCAGGCGTTCCTATTCCACTCACTTTGTGCCACCGCCACCACTTGGCTGGAAATAAAGTGCTAAGTGAGCTCTATTAGATTTTCGCAGAGATAATCATTATCACTTGTTAACCAGATGCTAGCAAATTAATAATTCACTTAAAACGTTCTCCAACGAACTGTTGTTTTTGCTTGCGATTCGCCGAAGTAGTTTGATTATTTTTTATTGTTTTAATTATGTTTGAAAACTTCTGCATTAAGTATATTTACATGCTTAATTTGCTGGATGAACTAATACTGTTCGGAACGTTCAGATATTTATAGTTTCTAGAAACCTGGAATCATAACATTAACATTAATACTGATTATCTTCTTACTCATTACCTTGAACATGTGTTTAGCTTGGCCAAGTTATTTTCCACGCACTTAAGAGCTTGTAAAATGTAAGCCTTTTTAGCCCCAAAGTGTTGTGCGTCTGCTAGGTGGCAATTAGTGGCCCCATCAACAACAAACTAGTTTCGCTCATAAGAGCGATTGTATTTGTTCTTGGTGGCGTGTCAATGGAGGGCATGACCCGGACTAAACTAATTATAAACTTGGCGAAACTAAGGCAAACCTGTGGGACAGCTCCAGTGGCTCTGGGCGGCGGCCTCGTGGTCATGCATTTTTCGGGCGGCACTGTCGCCTGCCAAAAAGGCGAGCAAAGTCTATGGAAAATGTGGCCAAATCTGGTGACTGGTTTACAGCTTTAGCTCCCGCAATGCCATGACGATGATGCGACCTCCGTTGGCACACAAACTTTTCGCGTCACACCAAGCTGTCCCGGAAAAACCAAATCCCACCCAATGCACCCTTCGTGTCCTTCCCAAAAAAAAAAAAAAACAAAAAAAAGAAGCGGAAAAGTGCAGTGCACTGCACAATGAAGCGCCTTTTAAGCAGCTAACTTTTCGCGAGATTTTTACTTTCTCGCACATCCGAAATCCAGGGGGAAAATCTATGCTACTATGTAGTGGATGCAGTGCAGCGAGGGTGCTACGGCGATAGCGGAAGCACGTAAAATATTTGCATTTTTATTAAAAATTGAATAAATTGAGATGAATATTTCTTTCGCTGCCAAAAGTTCCGCCCTTCGTCATCTTGTTATCGTTTTATTACTTTCGCGGAGCCGCACAAAAGTTTGCTGCTTTTTATAAAACTTAATTTCAATGTTGCCAGCTTTGTGATGTTTGAAATTCATAATTAAAAATAGTTGAAAATGTAGCGAGTGGTCAAAGTGCACGTCGACCCTTTGTGGCAACGTTGTATTTAATTTAATATAATTATTTCCTATTTCCCTGCACGGAAATCCAGCAAAAAAGGAGCACAGCTCTTCATCACGCTCGTTGCTCATACGCCGTGTGGTGCCGATTTTCCAGCTAATTAGCCGCAGTCCGGGTGAAAACTTCGTGAAAACTCTGTAAAGCACTGTCTTTTGGCAGAAATGCACGACTGGCAAGCGTTTTTTGCCCACAGATCTGCAGCTCATTGAAATATAATAAAGCTTTCAGTATACATAAATACAAATAGGCACTTGCTTTAAGTTGTGCAAAATATTGGTTTAAGGGAATGCCGAAATAGTTATTATTTAAATACTAACGTTTCAAGTTGTATGACTACTTCTTATTGTTTCTCATGCATACGTACGCAGGATCAATAAATCATTCAAAAACTAGTTTGCTTTAGCTCAAGATAATGTTGCAAGTTTGCTTGGTAATGTTTCAATCTAATTTCATACTTTGTTTTGGAATTCCCTGGCTTGTGCTAGACAATGTGCGCATTTAGATTTGATTTGTACTTTGCACAGTTTGACATTATTCCTCTGGCAGTCGCAATATAAACAAATCATTGCCTACCCTTGGCAAACTTTCTGTCACAACTTTCACACGACAAAGTTTCTCCATTTTGTCCTTTGTACGCTGGGCGTTTGCCACGCCCCCCGAGGAATCGTGCGTGGGTCGAAGAAGTTAGCTTTTCGGACCTGGGGACACACATGTGGCCCAAGTCCATGAATTATGACTGAGCCTTAATTATGTCGAGCCAAGATTAGCCCGGCAGGCATGATTCCATCCTTCCATCCCTGGGAATGGCAAAAGGTATAGAGAATCGGGTTGGTTGGGCGGCAGGAACGCGTCTGGGACATTACATTGATTCTGATATGGTTATTCGGTTCATTAAAAAGTTTCCCCGCACATCGTGTTGATGTTTCATGCAAGTTATGAATATAGCAAGACGCTCGAAGTTTGCTTCTTCTGCTGCACTTTTAATTAGGGCACAAAATCAACGAAGAAACTTTGACGCACTTTTAATGAAGCAACTTTTCGACGAACGCTTGTATCACCCTGAAGTCAACGCCTTACCACCTCCTCACTTTCCTCACTTCAGAAGTTAGGGCATTGTGTTTTCCGAGTATGAGACCAGGTAAAGAAACGAATTTAGCCGCCAAACGGGGAAGGGAATTCATTGTATTAACCTAAGTATAAAAGAAACGAACGTTCATACGGACGGACAGAGCGGACAGAATGAACGCGTGATTACTTTGAATTAAAGAACACAATCCAACTGCTATTTATGTGTTGTTCAACTAGTATTTTGTTCCCCCATTTCAGACGACTGGTTTCGGCGGACTGCCCGACGTCACCGAGCACTCGAACATCCGCCGCACACTGTCCCGCCAGAACTCGATCTCGAACAGCGATTCCGGCGGCGAGATAGCCAGCATCCAGAAGTCAAAGGTGAACTTTGGCAATCCTTTGGCCGGCGGCGTGGTCGTGGGCGGAGATATAGTGGGTCTGGACGCCAAGTCGCCCACATCGCTGGGCTCCACGACTGGAGCCGGTGGCACTGGAAAAGCGAAGGGAAAAGCGTCGAGGAAAGCGAATGCGGGAGCAGATGGCGGACAGAAGGGCAGGAGAGGATCCTGGCTGGTGGCCATCACCCTGGTCAGCGCCATCTGTCTACTGGCCATCGCCGCCACCTTGGCCTACCAGCACTTTCTCATGGCGCCCAGCCGCAATTCCCATGCCCAAAGACTGAGAATCGTTCGTCGAATCCTGCGTGAGGTGCCGCTGGTCGACGGGCACAACAATTATGCCTGGAACGTTCGCAAGTACGCCCACAGCAGCCTGGAACTCCATCTCAGCCACGACGTGGACCACAAGTCCCTGTGGGCGCGGCCGGCGTGGGCGCAAACGGACATGGAGCGACTCAAGCAGGGATTAGTCAGCGTCCAAGTGTGGTGAGTTCCACTAGGAAAGTCCAATTCATAAGGTTGAACTGACAAAGCTAAGCAATATGATTTGTCCTTTGTTTTATAATTTGTATTTTACAATTATGCTAGATAGTTATATTTTTCGGAACGCTGCCCGGCTTATTTAGCACTGGCTAAATAAAATCAAGGGCTACCTTTTACTATAATCATTTGGCAGCCAGTGACGTGATTTAAGCACAATCGAGCCTAAAGTGATGCTTAACTATAATAACAGCATTCAATGGGGCGTATACGCAATGGAAATAAGCCCACGAACCGCCCAGTCATGAAAATTGAAAAGTCACATAAAACCGCAATCAGGCCGATGCGACATCCACCCGGGTCAGAGATCTGACCCCTCCCCACTGCCATGCATTCGAGTGCTGGCCAAAACATGGCAGCTATAGCCAGCTGCCACGCCCACCGGTGGGCATCCAAACAGCTGCCCACTTTGCATGACCGCCACTATAATTCCCCCGCGCGGCAATAAAAAGCTGCCAACAATTTGACTGCAAAATAAAATTTGGCAACCGGCTGGATGGCCCAGGGCAAGCAGCCAACCTGTCTGCTGTTGGCCCTTCTCAGCCTTTGCCTACACAGAACACTGGGAGAAATTTCGACCCAAATAGGTGTTTCGGATTTTGAGAAATATAACTCCTAAATTGGAACTAAAACAAATTCACTTTAGAGTAGATTAAGGTGAAAAAATTAGTTATTTAGATTGATGTACAAACTAATTAGATAGAATAATACGTCGACCATGAAGTTATAATTATTCCTTCTCAGTGTATCTTACACCCACCCTAAGCCCGCTTCCGAATTTGTTTGGTGGGAAAGGGGAGGAGGAGCACAATCTGACAGGCAGCAGACAGCTGGAGTTTGGGAAGAACGCTGATGGGTAATCGACTTGAGTTCATTTTGGTAGGAAAAACTACAACCCAAAAATGCTACTATTGTGACCGCCAGATGGCGCAAGCGTAGCTTTTCGCCAATTTGGCGTGGCAATTCGCTGGACGACCTTGCTGAACTTCGTTTTGTACAAAATCAGCGGGGCTTCTGGTTTTAGTCAACCTCTGCGACGTTTTGCTCGCTTATTGCCATATCAAATGGCAACTTAAATGCAAACTAACCACTTTGGCCCTTTCAATTTGCATTTTCCAATAAAACTGCACGCGTGGATGGCTGGGATTGTTGCGAGCTGTGCTAAAAGGTCATTAGTTAAATGTCAAGCATTTTGTAAAAGGTATCTATTCTCAATTAAAAGGGAAGTGAAAGGAATTGCTATATGTATTATATATGCACAAATACGAAATAGCGTATATATAGAATGTAAAATAATTATACATATTTATGCATGAAAGCAAAAAATACGGAATAAATGAATTGTGTTTAAATACACTAGAGCCTAATTTAAGTATAATTTTATGTGAGGCGCCTTTTATGTATAAACGTATAAACGCTTTTTGTTTTGGCACCGTGACTCCTGGCAAAAGTGCGCTAACTCTTACACTTTCGGTGTCCTTTTGCAGGTCAGCATATGTGCCGTGCGAGGCGCAGGGCTTGGACGCGGTCCAGCTGGCTCTGGAGCAGATCGACATTGTGCGGCGCCTGTCGGACATGTATGCCCGGGAGACGGTGCTGGCCACATCCTCGCAGGACATCGTCGAGGCTCATCGCCGGGGACTGCTGGCCTCGCTGATTGGAGTGGAGGGTGGCCACACGATTGGCTCCTCCCTGGGGGTGCTGCGATCCTTTTACTCCCTGGGCGCACGCTATCTCAGCCTGACCCATCGCTGTGACGTCTCATGGGCAGGATCGAGTGCATCGCCGGCGGAACAGGGACTCACGCCCTTTGGCAAGGCCATTGTGCGTGAGATGAACCGATTGGGGATGATGATAGATCTGTCGCACAGCTCGGATGCCACGGCCAGGGATGTACTTCAGGTGACCCGCGCTCCGGTCATCTTCTCCCACTCCGCCGCCCGCCAGCTGTGCAATTCCACGAGGAATGTGCCCGATGACATCCTACGCCTGGTGGCCGAGAATGGGGGCCTAATCATGCTGAGCTTCGACTCCGAGGATGTGGCATGTGGGCGGCAGGCGCGCCTCCAAGATGTTATCGAGCACATAAAGTATGTGCGGGCCATCGCCGGCATCCAGCACATTGGACTGGGTGCCGGATACGATGGCATCGAGCTGCCGCCCTTGGGCCTGGAGGATGTGTCCAAATATCCCGAGCTATTGGCCGCCCTGCTGGAGGATCACAACTGGAGCGAGGAGGATGTGGCCATGCTGGCGGGCAGGAATTTCCTGCGCATCATGGAAACGGTGGAAACGGTGCGGGACTACTGGAAGCGAGCGGCCATCCAGCCCATTGAGCAGACGGAGCCGCAGCCCAAGACGCAGTGCACCTACATGTCCTCGTGACCGCAGGCGCAGGCGGTGAGGCAGCGACGGGATGAGCCGCCCATGGAGCGAGCCAATCGCACCACTGCCACCTTGGCGGGGGAGCACTACTGGCATCACAGTCCGGACTCAAGGGACTCCGCCTCCAATCGCACCAATCCGGCGGTCATCGCGGCCACGGCAACGAGTTTTACGGTCAGCGAACTGCTTCAGTAAACTGGCTTGGACGGTCAATCAAAGTAAGGGATTTTGGCTTGCGGTTCGGCTCGCTGGGATTTTGCGAAAGGAGGGGGGCCGGTGACGAAAACCCGGAAATGGCCTTTAAATGATTTCAATTGCAGAAAGGAATACATTTTTCTTAAAATTTGGAATATTTCATAAGTTATAGGGAACGAGAGACAAGTTTTGCAGAAGTCAAATTTTGCAGGTTCCTTAAAATAAACAACCCATTAGGTACTTTTTTCAAGTTTGCTTTACCCAAGCCCACGTAAATTGAAAAAGGATTTTGAAAAGGTTTTCGGGTGCCGAGTATTGGTGACCCAATTCAAAATTCTTGAAATAACTCAATATGTACATATACTAGCTACTTCTTGCAAAATCTCCTTTGTGCTGCCATCAACCGCCCTCGGGTCGAAAAGTGAACAACTGTCGTGGCGAACCTCGTGAATAATTAGTGTGTACTCGTAATTTACTTCCATAGGATGCATTGATAGGCGTATGAATAAATAATAATAATATATGTACTAGTATTTAGCCCATAATTGTTTGCAGCTATACTTATTGGTGTTGTGGCAATGCATAATTCATGCACAGTGCGCATGATACCTATTGATGTTGCTGTACCACGGGGCGTATGCGCGACGCAGCGAACACCGAACACCGAACCGCAAACCGAAATCGTTGTTGGCCTGCCTGTGACTGTATTATATATATGTAGGGCGCACATCAATGATTCACGCAAATTATCGCAATTAAGCGCAATATATTTAATCACATACATCACACATACACCCCAATATTAACCATCAAAACGAATTAATTGCAGCAGATTTCCCACAGTTGGCATTTATGCCGGGATCATAGGGTCAACTGTATAATCAGTAAATGTGTAATCAGTAAGCACCGCCAGCAATTCAATTAAAAGGAGATTTTTCACCCTGGCTGCATGTGAATCCAACTGAATTTCTGTATTAGGCTAGTTAACAGAACAAAAATGCAAAATCCCAAAAAACAAAATCAAAAAAACGAATTGTTGTTCGTGTATGCGTAGCTACATATATACATACATATATACCACTCGAAAAACAGAAAATTAAAGAAAAAGCCAGCAAAAGCAGTGCGTATAATCGAATAGACCGACACGCATTTCCATAAAAATAAATCGGAAATAAAAGAAAAATCATACAAAACTACAGCTTGTTTGTCATTCGTTTGCTGGGCTGTTTGTGCATTGTAGTATTTTGGGAATCCATTATTAAACCAGTACTATTGAAAGAAATGCACATAATCATGAGAACAATTTTATCAAATTGGTGACTTTTTGTTCAGTCAGCATCTAATGAAATGTCTTAGCTAATTTCGCTACATTAGATCACAGGCACTTTCAGATACTAAAGCATATAAAAAGAATCTCGTCCTAAATCGTTTTCTGACCTTATACACAGTGGAGCGGATCCATCTACTTTCGTTTATGCTCAAGAAATCAACGGCTTTGGATGCCTCAGTTTGTATACGTACGAGTATATAGAATGGCGACTTAGTTACGCAATGTCGACCTTAGCTTAGCTACACGAGTCTCTATACAATCGCAAAGTCTGGGAACATAAAAAACGTTAAGTGGTCGTAAATCAAAATTGTTCAAGAATGGCAAAGTTCGCAAAGTTGCTCTTGCTTTTACTACTTTGCGACGACACGGAGTCCTTTGCCTATTCGGTCCCATTGTCCTCTAACATGGTATTTATTTTCAGATACTCTTGGGCAAACAGAAAGCAACTCCCAGAAGATCCGGAAATTGTCGGCGAGGAGCCAATGGAGGAGCCAATCCAATTTCGTGCATTTGCAGTCCATTGAGTTTCGCTTAAATTTTAATGAAACTAAGCGCCCACCATACAAAATGAAAAAAGCATATCCCCACGATTTTATTTGTCGGCAGCGATGCCAGCAAGTTTTTAATATCAGCGTTTTTTGTTTCTTAATTTTTGTTGCTTTATTTTGTTTGGTTTTTGCTTTTTTGTTTACAAGTTTCTGTTTTGATTGCTTCTGCTTGGCTGTGGACCCCACTCCGCTGGGCTTTTGTTCAATTTTGTTGATTTTGCGACGACTTAATAGAGTCACTAATTGTTGTGTACAGACAACGAATGGCGGATAAATGCTCAGAAATGCTTCACGGCAGCTTTGGCTAAGAGTCTGGCATTGAAATGGAAATCATAGTCATCGCTTAAATTAAGCATTAAATTTCTTTATTTAATTCATAGTGATCAAAATATATTTTAAGTGAAAAACAATAATATTTTAAAGTATTTTAAAGATTCGGTCCTTAACGCTAGTTCATTTATTTTAACATTACCATATAGCTGAAATATTTACATCAGCTTTAAGAAATTATATCATCTACCCGATGTCTTAGTTTAGCGTGAAGTCAAGGACTCGTAACTTTTGGACATCATCATAACTCCGTTTACGGTTACATTGGCCATTAAAAGTAATTGCCCAATTTCACGGACACCTCGGCGTAAACAGCCACGACAATCCACTGAAAGTTGGGAGGCTGTTAAAGGACAATGGACCTCCCCAGGCGAAAATTAAGAACTGGCCGTTAACGAGACGAGCGGCCTGGCATCGCATTCTCATTAACACGCCAGTCCGGTTTCAATTTCCTGTTTCATTTTTCCTTTCATTATAAATGGCTCTCAGCATCGCCAGCCAGTTGAATCACCAACTCCGGACCACAGAGGCAAAAAGCCATAAACAATGTGCCGCGACAACTGCGACGAGTTGATGGACAAAATAATGCCTGATGACATTTATAATGAGCTGTTTTTTTTTGTTGCTTTTCGCCCCTACTGTTTCTGTGCAGCAGTTGATAAGTGGACACTCGCTTCATGTGGACAAAATTTGCGCTACTCCTGTGCCTATTGCCTTCAACTTACCCGCATCCTCAGTCGTGGCATTTGATTTTAAAACAACATTACAAAGGCCTAATCCGCAGATAAAATATTTCATAGATATGTATGCATAAAATTAAACCCTTTCTTTGCATATGCTATGTAATATATAATATAGGTTGTCAAATATCTCTTTTTATGTATAGTATTGCCAGATACGAGCTCTGTAGCGCTTTGTACATAGCCGCGAAATTCAAAAGACAAAAAGGCGGAAGGGAGATATTTGACAACCTTATATAAACGAAAATAATTAAATCGACTTTCGAATATACACACGTAACTTATAGAGATGATCAGTGCTTCATAAATTCAATTATTATTTTATATTAATATGATATGATATGACGTACAAATAAACATTTTGCATAAATTCAGTTCCGCTCAATGGCATCTGTAAATTTTTACGAGTCGCCACTGTTCGATGAGCTCAAATATTGTCACAAAATCTGTTTGCTTTCTGAACCACTCGGTGATGAGGACTCCAGAAACCACCCACTCCACACCACACACTCCATACTCCATGTTCATCAATTCCATGTCCGCTAAGATCCGACGGTACATATTATACATACTCGTATGTACATGCATGCATACCTACATACTCGTATGTATTTACATGCATAATAATTTATGTACATGCATAAGTTTTGCATTCCCGCAACGATCTATGTATGTACATACCATGCATGCAGTCCTGGACAATTGACCGACTCCATTGGTGGGCGGTGACCACCCATCCAGCCGTAAGTAATTAGGAAATTTGCAGAAAATTTGTATTTGCAGAACATGGTTCCCTGTGGCAGTTTCCAACGTTGGAAACCGCATTATGCACACAAACGAATCTCATTTCCCATCGAACACTTGGCCATAGACTTCATGGACTGTGTGTGCAAGACAAATTTCAGTTAATTATTACACAGCTCGTCCCTAATCCATTTATAATAATTCATCTTGCTCGGCCACTGCACACTTGGTATTGATGTGTATTTGATGTACTTGCCCATTGTCTCTCCCAAATTAGCCCACAGCATTTGGGTGTTGAGACTACAAATGATGTCCATTTGCCCAATTGGCTGCTACTACAAACATATGTACATAGGCTTAAATCAAAGACACTAGAATAATAAGATGCGTAACGCCATACGATTTTTTTGCACACGATTTTTTCGGGCTGGATCTAGAGATGACTCGAGGCTCTCTCGAATTTTTGTGCAAGAGCCAGAGAGAGAGAGAGAGAGAGAGCGCTCTAGAGCCAGCAGCTCTCTTGTATGCATCAGTGATGCCAATATTTTTCTGAAAAAAAGGACAGATTGAGAAAAAAATAGGCTGAAAATTTCAAAAAAGGATGAAAAAACAATACAGATTTTGATTCATACGTTTGAAACATACGTTGCCATTGTGCCAATGCGTTTCAAATACGTTTCGGGCATTTTATAGGCTTTATTTAAGAAAATTTTTACTACTCTCTTTAAAGACCTCACTATTTCACTCACTAATATTATTATGACAAAATAATAGTTTATTATTTAATTACTTACAGCTCGAGGTTAATTTAGTAGCACTTTGTATACGAATAAACATAAAAATGTATATCCCTTTCACTGTAGGGTAATCAATTTCTTTAGAATAATTTTATATTGTATTTTAAATATTTTTTATGAAGAAATATTTTTAAATAAATAATATAACATTTCAAACACTTGTATGAATAACATTTGCCCGGTTATTTGTTCAAGAGGGATGCCAATGTGATCTTGCAGTCATCACACTTAAGAACACATACACTACACTCGCTGCTCGACCGGTAAGACAGATTACTTGAACTATTTTGCGACTCTAAATTAGAAGACATTCCTTACAGTCTTCACTAGAACTAGTTGGGAATTATAGGGCTGCAAGAAAATATTTTTCCTAAGCAAATATTAAAAGCGGCAATAACTATGTGTTCCGCCAGGAAGTTAAACATTTTTCAGGCTTTAATTAATACAATTTTACTACTTTGTGCAAATGACGCATACATACATACATACATACATACATACATACATACATACATACATACATACATACATACATACATACATACATACATAATACATACATACATACATACATACATACATACATACATACATACATACATACATACATACATACATACATATATATATACATACATACATACATACATACATACATACATACATACATACATACATACATACATACATACATACACCGGTACATACACCGGTACATACACCGGTACATACACCGGTACATACACTACACATACACTACACCCACTGCTCGACCGGTAAGAGAGATTACTTGAAATATTTTGCAACTCTAAATTAGAGGACATGCCTTACAGTCTTCGCTAGAACTAGTTGGGAATTATAGGGCTACAAGAAAATATGTTTCCTAAACAAAAATCTATATTATTTGTACTCTGGCAATCGAGTACACAATACTCGTTAGTAAAAAGTAAAAACTCGAATTTTGGATTGCCTTAATATGATAATTATTTAATTACATCATAAAAATAGTAATAGGTTAATAAATGTACATAATAATACCCAATTATTTTAATATTACTTTATTATAATAATTACTTTATACAAGAAAATATGTCGTTAGAATATTCAGCCTGCGACGTGGAAAATATATTTGATCTTAGATTCTTAGGTGCGCTGGTCCTGCCTCAAGAATTCAATTTAAGAAAAAATAATAATAGTCACGGCATCAATTTATAAATAATATTTAGCTCATATTACAACATATGACCAAAACATTAATCAAATTCGTTTCTCAGATCGAAATTCGTTTCGGACCGAAAATCGTCTTCTATCACAACTTTTTTGTTTACTGTTTTCACTCACACAAGCAAGTGAATACTGAAGTGAAGTGCATTTTTATGCTCTCAATTTTATGCGAGCGGGAAGAGAGCAATTACTGCCGCCACCAAAAAAGTGGCTGCATAGTGCAAAACCAATGCTTGGCCGTTACGCATCTTGTTATTCTAGTGTCTTTGATTAAATTGTTTATATAAGGGGCGATAAAAACATCAAAACGCATCTTAGATCATATTCAATACATTAAAAAACATATGCATATGTACAAAGTATTTAACAAACCGCTGCAGATACTATGAATATTTATGTATGTCATCTGGCTGTCCTCTACTCACGACTTCCAATTGACATTACACAAGCACGTGTACTTCCAACATCCAGGAGCACATACATACATACATATTCGAAATTGATTTACTTTTGCTGCAGCCCAATTCAGCACGCTCATTTGGACTGGCCAGCAACTGGGCTTGTAAGAGTTGGCCAACAAAACACGCTAGTAATTAAACGCTGCCGTGTCCCCGGGGTGCAGTTAATGTTGTGGTGCCATAAATTTGACTTTTGCCTGTGTTCCGATGTCTGTGAATTGGGTTATTTACTGCCGAGTGCTGCATTTGGCAGGTGAAAAGGAAAAGCAGCGAATCCAAGGCGTTTCCATATTCAATTTGGCACAAGAAGTCCTATCTCGGGTTTGTTAATTTGAAGTTTAAAGTAATGCATTTTGATCCATTTCCCCATGATAAATATTTGATTTTCAGCACAGCCAATGGCAATCAGTCCACATTCATTACCATGCCACTCCTGTGGCTGCTTTCAAATCGCCGTTGGACACGTTGGAGCTCTGGTAATTTCGTCATTTTGGCCTGGTTGTTGTGGTGGTAATTTTCCCGCGACTGGGGACTTTACAGCTACGCACTTAAAAGAGGAAAAAATGAGTTGGACTGGTTTTCCAGCGTGGGGAACTGCACTATCAACAAGTTTTCTTGTTTTCCTGTTTTCCGCCTGTAAAGTGTATTCGCCAAGGAGACTCCGGTTCCGCGTCGAAGGAAACGTTACAAGGATGTGACAGGAGCCTCCCACTATCAACTACATGCAAGCAATAGTGTAAGTACAGACAGAGAAAATGTAAGCCCATTTATGGCACCTTAAACTATTTTATTTTGAGTGTGAAGTATACACCATTATTATTATACAGTTATACAAATAAGTTAAATACTTAAGAGGAAAAGGCTTTATAATAAATATGCTTAATATTTTTCACAGTACCCTTACATGATTTTGTATCCGTCCGTCTAACTGTCGACTTGTCCATCTGCCTGGTGGTTACATCGTGAAATGTGACAATCTGCAGAGAAGTTGAAACGCAGGTGGAAGGAAGTCGAGCTGGAGGACTACGGCACTCAGGTGTGCACGTTTATGGACAACATAATGGCGGAATCGAGTTGGGCGGAATGTAACACCCAGACGAGGGGCGAAAGGATACAAACAGGTGAGAGAAGAGCTCATGGAAATATTCATAAGGAAAATATTAAAAATGAATTACAGGCTCTGGCAGACGCAAGCAAACGCAAGCTCCCGGAGATAAGTCGCAAAACTGGGAGCTGCCCAAGCCCGGCCATCCATCCAATCTCACCCAGAATTGCCCCATGGGATGTAAAATGGATGTTCGTATGTACGTACCTACTTTACACAACCATTTATCCGACACCAACTTTATTTGCGACTAATCCACAGACAGTTAACCTGTGCTTGGTTTTATCCTGAAAGGGTTGATACAAAGGGTTACAAAATGAAGAGGAAATATGTACATATACCTAGGAACGTAACTATACTCGTAATTGTGGCCAATGTGTGTGTATTTTCCCAATTTAAGATGATAACTTTAAACCAATGAAATGGGTGTTGATTTTCTATCTTTGGAAAACTTTGAATTTTCAATTAGGCGAACATCAATGATTCCCCCCACATAGCTGAGACCCATCCGCGTGAAGTCGGGTAATTTGCTCATCTTCCTCTGGACGCGTTCGCGCACCCGCTGCGCATCCGGCGGAGTTTTGTGCCATTGTACCGTTGTACGGCCGTAGTCCGTGTGCCTTCGTTCGCCGTTCATGCATGAGCACGCTGGCTTTTTTGCTCCCCTCTTCGGTTACATTGCACAGTGGACGCTTTCGGGTCAAAATACATGTAATACCTTTAATTGAAATGTAATGTAATAGTTGAAAATGTAATGTTAACTGACATAGCTTACCGTTTTACAGACATTACAAAAATATAACAAAAACATACTTTCTTTGTTACATTTATTATTTATTATATTTATGGTCATTATCAGCTGCGCACAGTGTTGAAAAGTGTTATAATGAACAAGAAAAACATTTCAATACAGATAGCACCTATCTACCTAAATTAGAAAACAACACATTTAAGATTTGCCAATTTTTTGAAACCTCTGAACCAGTGTGCTGGCTTACATTTCCGCTTTCTTCTTTTGGCAACTCAATGTCGCCTTTGGGGCTCCTCTGGAGACCGGAAAAAGGCAACATTTTCGATTCGATTCTTTTTGCCAATTGCCCGAGACTGTGTCCTGTCGGCATATGACGAATACGTTACGTGCGTGACGGCGACATTACTCATACGCACCGTGGGTCGCTTCAGACATCTCAGCTCCCACGTACGCGAAATATTTTGAACTCAGCTCCCTGGGCGATATTTGTTTTTCGTTTTTGCATATTTTGCGGGCAATTTGGGTAAAAGGATTTCCGCACTCTGCGACGCCGTCTTCAGTTTGCGGCTTTCGTTTTTCCCTTAGTTCGGCACACATTTTCCTCGGCGCCTCGGCAAATCGCTCACGTAAAATATGCATGCGTTTCCTCGGCGGTTTTCGCTCTCAAGTGCCTGCAATTCAATTACATTTCGATTGATTTTCGTGTTTGGCCCCCAATTGAGGCAAAACCATTCGGTCTGCTTGTGCATAGAGCGTGTTTTTCGGGGCGATTTACGAGCGTGAACCAATATTTTCCATAAGTGAGGCTTGCCTGGCTTTACGCTTCTGGAAAATCTATCCGGAGTTTCTCTAATAGAGGCTATATTTTGTTTAGGAACAAGTTTCTTGGTAGGCAAATGATGATTAAGTAGTCTTTATTGGGTAAGTAGTCACAATACTAATTTAAACAAGACCCATCAGTTAAGAGATTGTTTCTTTCGGCGCTCAATTAGTCAATAAAATTCTTAAGAAATCACATCCTTCGATTTTGTTATGGCCGCGCGACAGTTGAAATGAAAAGCGATAGCCAGAAAATGCTGAAAAGCCACTGGAATTGTACAGATATACAGATGCAGATACGCCAACAAAAGTACAAACATATCTATATATTTATATACATAGCTACCACTTATGTTGTCCTTCGCAGATTGCTCCCTTTAAGCAAATAAAAAAGAAGTGGGCACCACGCCGAAAACAAATAAAATTAAATGGGGAGTGGGAAGAGGGAAATGGGGAATCGAAAATCCAAGTTGGCCCGAGATCGGGTCAATAGTGAGCCCAAGGCAAATCCACAGAAGAAATGAAACGAGATTTTGTGCGCTTTTCCCATTCGAATGTTGCAGGTACTTACAATACAGTGTTTATCCATATAATCAAACCACGAAAACACGATGAGAAAGCCCATTAATTTCTGCTGAGCATCACAGAATGCCTTTCGTTCAAGTTGAATTTATGTATTTTAATCAATTTCCCGTACTGTGGCTTTAAGTGTCGTAGATTTGTCCAACTGAATTGATGCCTCAATTATCCGAATGACGGTGGCACACGTTTAATGGGTTTTCGTGCAATAAATAGCAAAAACTCACTAGACAAACTCCTCCGTATCCTTGCTCATTATCGGAATCAATTAAAATTTCAGATGTATCGTTAGCACGCCCAAGGCCATGTCAGCACATCCACGGGATTGGGCGAGAGTCCTCCAAAATACACCTTCAAAATGGCCCAACATCAATACCAATCGCATGTGTGTACCCACCCATGTACCCCACCATGTATGTACCTTGCGAACTTGGTGTGTCTTTTCTTGGCCGCCACCATCCTTGGGTGAACCATTTGACGAGCAAGTGGGGCAGGCAGCTTGCATCCGGCACAATATAGAACGACAATACGCGTATGGGCGTATGTAAATAAAATCGACATTCAGTTTGTAGATACCCAGTGTATGTGCATTTTCATTGGAGGCCGTTCGATGCATCTTTCAGTTGCTAGTTACAATTTTATTCAGATTTATCATGATTACGAAAACAAGAACAGATAAATGATGCAAGTTTGCAATAATCATTGTGAGATTTGACTGCTTTAAGGTCTGGAACAAACATAAAGTTCGGAAAGTGTGCCTTTCAGCGATAGGGCGATTCACAACTGAACAAAAAAAAAAGAAAAACTGAAAGGAAGCTGCAGCTGACAGTCAAAGGACTCGGAAGAGCAGATGGGCGGTCATAAGATTATTTTTACTAGTGACCCGATGACCGTAAAAATGAACGCTCGCAGCAGCAGCAGCGAATCTGCGGTCGAAAGTACTCGCTCCTGCAGCGGATCTGGAGTCCCATGTCCTGGTTGTCCACCAATTTGCTTTGTTGTCGCAGCCCTTCTGCCGTTTTATGAACTGCGAACTTGTCAGCCGCCTTCGCCCCTTTTTTCTGAACCCTCCCATCGGAGTGGGCTTAACTTCCTGTCGATGATATAAACGAGACTGATCATAAAATTTTACGGGCTGGTTTGGATTGCACGGCGGTATCGCCTCGAGTGTCATATATTGTTGAACACTTGGAATGAATGCGCGATTGACACCTTCAAAGCACTTCAAGACGGCGGAAATTATAAAATCGAACCCTTTATGTGGTTGACAGTGGCACAAACTTGAACCCATGCTTATAACCCATATATGTACATAAAATCATTTATATGCTATTTTATACGGCTTATACCTATACTGGTCTTGCGTTCGACAACGAAATTGAATCTCCCAGTTAAGAGAGAGATTTCCTATCGTGGGTAGAGAATTGATATTGGTATATCAATTTTATTTTTGCCTCGTTCAATATAAAGTTTATTCAATATAAAGTTTATTTTAATGCTAACAGATGAGAAATATTTGTGACAGAGAAAACGAATAAGCAAAGAGCTTCTTCAACTAAAGATTTGTTTCAATTTTTAAGAATTTTTTAATATTAAATGTATCTCAGAGATCTATGTATCTCGCTGCTTCGAGCCTCGCGGATTTTACCAATGTACCTGCCAGAGGATATACATTTTTGAGGTTATAACAGGGCGACAGAAGGGACGAGGCTGCTTTTCACCTCTGAATTTAATGAGCTTTCACGGCACGTGATTATTAGGCGAACGGGCGTACGTGTGGGATTCTTTACCCAAAGTTACCATCCCAACAACCCAACCCAACCCATCCCATCGCAACCGGTTACAGGTGCTGACAATTTCCCAGCTCCACGGATCCACGGCAGGAAAAGTGTTTTCCTTCACCGCACTCACATCCACATGGGCGCCCCGACGTAGCCACATGGGCAATATTCCGTAGCCGTAGTTTTTCCAGCAATCCACCCACATCTTCACATATTCAAAATTTTTCCCTGCTCCTTGTCGAACGAAACATAAACAATTTTTCGCGACGCTGAAAAACTTTTAACTCGCTCTGTCCGTACATTTTCCACGTGTGCTTCTGCTTCGCTCAGCTCCACCTACTAAAATATATGTATGTACTATCAAGGTAGGAAAATTTATACAGACTCCTTGCTATAGCGAGTAATTTGAGATGCTTGAAGGCAAGGAACAGTCTGAAAAAATAGCTTTAAAATAAGAGATAAATCGCCAGTCTGAACCAAGTCTTTTCATGCTAGTTATAAATGTTTACTTTTTCCTAATGATTTTTGGCTGAAAACAACATAGTCTTCGTATGTCCGCCTTGAAATAATGTGTTTAGATTACTATGCATACTTTGAACTATTTTTGGTTAGAATTTTACTACACTATACTAACTATGTATGTATATCACTCACGGACCTTTTTATGTTTATTATACATAATAGGTCAAGAGATTAAATTCACTCAAGTCTGGAATAAGTTATTGCATTTGAAATTTAGCACATAACGCATGCTAAGATCTTTAGTGCCTTCGTCTCGGCTTATACGACTTGTGGCCATGTTTTCCGTCTCCAATATTTTCATGCGCAATGGCCAGCTCGGTTTGCGAATTGATCACCGCCGTCAGTTCATCGACGATCTCGTCCAGGGTGAGCGGATGTCCATTGGCCACCATAACGGCCAGGATGAGGGGCGCCAAGATGTCGTTGTGGCAGCCATCCATTGCGCTTCCTTCGCCCGCAGTATTGGAAATTTTCGAAAAAACACAACACGAGAGCTCAATTTGGAATATTCGATCTTTGTGCTCATGCAAATCTATGACATCTCGACTGACATGCCCATCGGGGCTACTTTGGATATATGTACATAGCTTCTCTGGTTTCTCCACTGGAGCTGTGCAGTTGTTGGGTGGGGAATTTCAATTGGAAAAGTGTCACTTGTCAGTTGGTCATCGACCATTGTGTTTCAACCTTTTTTGCTGCCTTCCCCACGCATTTTTTGGCAGATACATTTCATATGCAAATTGCTCGCAAGTCGGAGACCGTCAGTTGATAATAAACAAGAGAGAATGCTATAGTCGAGTTCCCCGAAGTGGAAGTGCGAACAAGTTATTTCAACATCTTTCTGGCATGGTTTAGAATCAAACTTGCGCTGTGTCTAGTCCTTGCAATCTGCATGCCACATCTCAACTTTCTAGCTTTTATAGTTCCTGAGATCGAGACGATTATACGAACAGAAGCACATGGCAAGATCGACTTGGTCATTGCCCCTGATCCAGAATATATATGTATACTTTATATGGTCGGAAACGCCTTCTTCTACCTGTTACATACTTTTCAACGAGTGTAGCACATACATATATTCCTTTACTCCACGAGTAAAGGGTATAATTAAACGATAACTTTTAAGTCATAAATTCCGATAAATCGGAATTGAAATCGGGCTTATTCCATCTTCAACGCTTCACTTTGGGATTTTCTACCGAATCGAGCGGTTGGCTCTAAGATCTCTTAAGGTGAGTTAAAAAAAAAAACGTAATTGGGGGGTTCCCGGAAAAAAAGATGGCTAGAAAGTTTTGAAAATCTATGGAAACAATAAATACAATTAAATAAATACATACTATTATAAAACAAGCTTAATACGATATTCAAAGTAAGGTTTCATTAGATATGTACATAAACACATATGTAGCCAGAAAAGCAAACCACGCTGAAAAAAGCGTAAAAAATAATAAATGTATGTACAATGTACATATTTACATATTATATGTGTAAGTTAACTAAAGTTAACGTCGCTATGTTGAGCGCATGAAATACGACGACGACGCCATTCTGCAATGTAACCATTATGCCGGACGTCGTTACGTAGCTGGCAAACTTTGTTTTTTTTTGTATGGCCAATGTGTTTCGTTTTCATTTTTAGCTCCTAAGTTGAATTTCTGTATTCGTAGCTTTAGTTCAGATTTGATATTCAATGAATAACGAGCACCAACCAGCTCATTAAATGCAACTCCGGCAAGCGCCGTTTTATCTTCTTCTGAGTCTCTAGGCCAGAAGCCATCATAAACTTCCTAATTCATCAATTGGGAATTACCACCTCCGATCTGTACATATATAGATCTGTGGGGAAAGATATTCATATAGAACGTGAATTCAAGATTATATACATACAATGTACATTGTTTTATTAGTTTCAGAACCCTACCCGATTTAACATGGATAAGTGGTAAGTTTATAAAATTAAATATAGGATTTTCCCCATACTATCTCCAATTCCAGGCTACAGCCTGAGTTTCGCAACCTCTTGGAGAACAAGAAATTCTGCGATTGTCATATTGAGGTGAAAAAGCAAACTTTTGAATGCCACAAAGTAATTTTGGCCAGTGCATCGGAGTTTTTCGAGCGCATGTTCCTCAGTGATTTCAATGAGTCCAAATCGGGAAAGTTTGTCCTAAATGATGTCCAGCCAGAAACGTTTGCCCATTTCCTCCACTATGTGTACACCTACGATACGAAAGCTCTTCAAAAGCACGCCACCTTGACGATGATAATGGAGCTACTCGTATGCGGCTCCTCCTGGCTCGTGGAGTCGATCGTCTTCGACTGCGTGGCGATCATAAAGATGAAGCTACCCACAATGTTGATCGGCGACCTTGTCAGGGTTTTCCAGAAAGCACACGACATAGAAAAAGAGGATCTCATCATTTGTTGTAAAAATGTGAGTCAATAATTTTTGTTTAAGATGGTTTAGAAGCAGATAAGATAAGTCTTTGTCGTAACTGACAGTATTTTGTGATTTAATGTACGCACTAGGTCTTTAAAATTATATAGACTTGTTTGGAGTATATAATAATCAACGATTTTTTTAAAGCAATTGCACTCGCGTTATCGCGAAACCATGAATTGCTGCGAAACAGTGTTCCTAACTTCAGAGGTCTTCAAGCAGTACCTAATTATCACCCAGGACTGTTTGCCTGAGGTCGAGAGGTTTAAAATGATGCAGACTTACCTATCCGTTAATGGGCTTATAGACAATGAGGCGGTCGAGCCTACAGAACATGTCTATGGTGATGTTGGTCAAGTTGAACTTCCGGAAAATTCTAATGACGACGACGGACCAAAAGAGAAGGAAAGAGATGACTCCGAATCTCTTGGTAAACCCCTAACTTCCAAGGCGGCTATCGATGCAAACGGGAGGAGAACAGATGATGTGCTCCTCACAGAAGAGCCAAAGGGCGTTAAGATCAAACTCATACATCAAAAATATGTAAAAACTCTAGTGGACCATATTAATTTCAGTAACATGTTTAAAAAAGAATTTTACAGTGTAGTTGGAAATTCTGATTTGTTTAACTACAAGGAAAAATACGAATATCTTTACCTAACCAAATAAACCAGTATAAAAATGTACTTGAATGAAAATGTAACTACAGATATTCTATTTACATACGAAGAACACTTCATGTATAACTTAGATGCTAAGAAGCATGTATATTATCATTTCATTTTTAAATAAAGCTTGGCCTTTATATAGAAGCATATGCAGAGAAAAGGTTTATGTAATGATGCTTTTAAAATTAATAAAACGAGTGAGGATGTATACCATTTTGCTCTACGAGTACCGGGTATGCAACAATTGAGACGACTACCAGAAGCGACTTACGCACACATATGCAAAAGAGCAACGGATATGACACTCCGCCCACATCCAGACACAAGCACAATCTTCAGCTTAGCTCATTTCATCTGGATATTACACAAACTTCACGACTGGGAGCTACGGACTGGTCTTTCTGATTTGTGGAGATTTATTTCACATCGCCTAGGTTGCACTTATAAATACGGTTTCAGATTTAAAGATGCTGGTGTCCATCCCCAGAAAGACCATGCCCAAGCTGCACAGCAGGGAATTCGACATGGAAAGGTTCAGAGTGTGGGACAAGTTCCTCAAGAATGCAGCTCCTGCAAAGTGCCGAAATGACAGCATTTGCGATCAACGTTGCCGGCTTTAGAAACCTATTCAGCAGGTGCAAAACCATTAATTTACACAACCGCAATATTGAATTAATAAAGTCCTACATTTAATGTTTTTTTTCTCAACATTTAACAATCGTATTAATAAAATAAAGTTTTCTTTGGTTCATATACGCTTGGTGATTCGTTTTCTTATCATAAAAAAGCAAGTATTTAATATAAAAACCCCTTCATTTGAACTGAAGTGATTCACATTTAAGGTTATGAGATTCAATCATTGGGTATAATTCTATGTTTACCCTAATTATTATACTTAAACTAACGTACCCTAGCTTGTCTAGTATAATTATGTAAGCATTCTTATAAAAATCTCTAGGAAACGTAACAGAAACAGAAGTTCCCATTTGATAAGGGTCGGAAATTATTTGGTTTTCTCAGTTGACCTAGGCTTACGCTTCTGGAGCAAAACCATTGATAACTTGAGCCGCTTATACTCTGCGTGCGAGCAGAGACCCACGGCATGCAAAATGGAATCCTTGGTTAATTTGTTCTCGTCATCTTTGCTTTTCTTCGCTGGCTTACAATTGGCACGAGCGCGACTCAAAGCTGCCTGTAGATTGAGACGACTTTTTCTCATATCCAGGTTGCTGTGTGATGGCGAAAGTGGGTTTGGTGATTCCACAGTATGCGGATTCTCAACAATGGGCTCTACTCCATCTATTATGAAATACTTCATGATCAACTGACCCTCGTTGGGTCGCTCCATTACGAAGCACGGCTTAAGGGCTATATCCGGGTTAACGATAAGCGGAACAATGGCTGCACTGACAATGTCATTGATAACCATTTTGTCCGGCTTTACGTCCTGCTCCGTGAAAGCTGAGCAAAAACGATCTATGTCGTCCTGAAGGCGGAGCACCAAGTAGTTGCATTCAGCGTTTAGTTCGTAGAGCATCTCCTCCAGTTCATTGATGTACTTGTCCTTGATGATGGGATCCTGTAAGTCACATAATACTATACAATTTATTAAAATATATATAAACTAGTATGTAAATGTAAAAAGTTCCTTTTGAACATTAAATTGCTGCAGCTTTTAAACATATTAAATAATGCCGGTAGAATGAGGTGCCTTTATTCTAGCCTTAAAGGATATAACTAGAAATAAACGTAGATTGTTCTTATGGAACGTGCGTCCATATTTTTACTCACAGCATCCGCCTGTTGCGCGAAAACACTGACGATTGTCTGCAAGAATCGAAGAGATATGTGATACATATATACATGTCGATAATGTTTATCCACATGCCTGGTGGATCTCCAGATGAGTTTTGATGGCTCGTTGGCAGTAGGCAATATCGTTGACCAATTTTTCCGGCATTTTGTAGAACTTTCGCAAATAATGTTCGAAGAATCTTTGGACATGCAAGTCCTTGCTCGGCATGGATTTGGCATTTCGCATCTTTACCAGAAACTCTTTGATGATCTCGTAGCGCTCCTTCGGCGTGAAATCGTTGAAATTAATGTCCTCCATCTCGAATTTTGTTTTACGCTTTGAATTTTACAATATATTTTTTTTGTTTTGATGCCAGAAAATGCCGCTTCCTGATTTAATAGAGTGCCCAGAGTCGGTCAGAGTGCTGAATTAGACTGGCTAAAAAATAACAGCTACCTAGTGGCAGCACTGTGATTTCGATATAACACAGCTATCGATCTGTAGCTGAGTACTCGCCTATCGAATTTGAATTGAAGTTATTTTTAGTTAAGATTTAAAATATCAATATAATATTTAAATACTGTATTGAACTACCAAGCAGCGCATTTTGGTGACCGATAATTAATGGCTAGACCCAATTTACGACCAAGCACAGCTGTCAATTCAGGATCAATGCTATGTTTTGGCAGTAAATATGATTGATAGTATTGGCCACAGCTGAGCTCTGTTCACCCATGTGAGTAAATAACTTAATTACTATTTAATTATTCGCATATTGATTACCGAACGGCGGCGGAAACTTACTCGACAGCGACACAGTGTCCATTTTAATTCAGCTTTGCAGTGAACAACTAAGGAGATCGATAATGACTGAGTAATTTATTAGTGATTTCTCCCCGACTTTCTTTTTCTTCTGGAATATTGATGTGAAATTAAGTTAGGCAGAGTGTTTTTTGATCTGTTTTGCACAGCTTTCTTTGCTACTCAACTGCCAACTGTGGTTTTTGCTCTGTTTTGCGATATCCTCTGGCAACTTTAAAGCTCTTTGGCCCGGCACAAAACTTTCGACCGCAAAAGAGCCTGCCGCAGGAGCTCCATAATCCTCAAAAGGCTTTCTCATTGCCAAAGCAACCAGTATACGCAGCAAATCTTGGCCGAAACAGACACAGCTGAAATCCCATCATAAGCTCTGCTCGACCAAATCTAAAGTTCGCTTTCAGCACAAGCAGATTTTGAGGCTATGCCTTTGACATTCCTTGTTGTCCGTGGAAAGAAGGATGTTGTTTTTAAGCGGAGTGAGATGGCTTGACTGCCTTTTTAAAGGGTTCGCCAAAGAACAAACCATGAATATGTAATTACATTTTGTTTCTTATTTTTATTGCAACCAAATTGGGATCCTTATAAATTTTGATTAAGATTTGTTTACTAAACTCCATTCTTGAATGTTTGGCTTATGATGTTTAATTTGTCCTATTTAAAAGCGAATAACATTTTCGATAATAATTTTGTATTTTATAACTTTTATATTTATTATTTACCATATAAAATATAGCAATATTGCGAGAGTTTTAGGTTTAAAATTCTCGCCGAAGTCGCCACCTAATTCATTTTGTTTTTTGTATTGTATTCCAAGGGTCATCTTATGTATAAATCGCAGGGCTGATAATAAAAGTCGTGGACGAAACACTCCACGTACTTCAACTGAAATGGAAGTCCGTGTAACTGATGACTCCTGGATGCCAGGCCATATTCATCTTGCGACTTCAAAGGATGGCCGTAGCAACAATGGATGGTCCCAGGATACAACAATAGTCGTTGCGATGGCTAAGGAGGCTCTTTTCGGGGGGCGAAAAAATAAAAGGACCACAAAGCAAAAAGGGACAATAGCACCTAATGGTGCGTTGTGGTGTCGGTGGTGTCGGCTGTGTTGGGTTAGTGGTGCTGTTGGGCTGGTGGGTTGGTGCTGCCGGTGGTTCCGGCCGGAACAGTGGCACGCGGAGCCACCGACGGTGTCCCTCATTTATCATTTACACACCAACGCACGGGAAAACAGTCCGAACACGGCCAAATGATGGGTTGTTTCTCGCTGCCGGGGATAGAAAATCCTCGGTGGAAATTCCATTAACGCTTTATGTCGGCCATGCGGCACATCGGCCCTTCATTTGCATTGATTAAATCACTTTGCGGTTGGTGCGGCAAATGGTTTGAAAATCCCCACCAACTTTCCGCTCAATTTTTATGCACTTCTCCTAGGCTTGCCTCAAGAATTTCCTTTTTTATTCGACTTTGTGCCCAAAATCTTCTATTCACGTTGTGTATGCATATTTCCAATCAATTTGACCAGTCTTCTGATGGCAATTTAAGTTTTGGTTCCTTATTTTGTTTGGATAAAGCGAAAGGTGAGAAATGTAATTGATTTTCTCGGGAACAAGCGTAAATGGGAAAGTGCAATGTTCTACATCTTTTCTGTTTTGGCTTTTCTTTTTATTGTTTTTCAATTCATTGCTACTAAGACGGATATTTTCAGATGATAGGTTTAAAAATCGAACAACTTAAAAAAAAAAAAAAAACGAAAAAAGCGATTCGACCCATTGCATAATTTTCAACGAATCTAGTATACCCTTTTTCCAAACGAGTAACAGTTATAAAAAACTCCTACATTTTTGAAGGGTAACTGTACTCAACGAACCAAAAATTGTTTGTACATTAAACCTATGAACAATTATGTAATTATGCAAACCATTGCTTTGCTGCTTGCGTATCGCCCTCTCCCTCGCTCTCACTTCCATTAAGTAAGGGTTACGACGTTTGACATTGTTCTTTGTTGGTTTTGTATACAATTTGGTCATCATACGGTAATCGCTTAATACTTGATAATGTGACCGTAGGCCTCATTGGTTGTCCTCTTTATTCGTTAAGTTTTTTTTTAACGAGATCACTGCAAACGGTGAACGCGATAGCTGGTCAAGTTGTTCCAAACTCTTATCGATCGTTAAGCTGTCGATAAATTAGTGATTACGAATAGCACTCGACTGGGTGGCAACGCCAGGACATTATCAAACAGCTGTTTGACGGTTGTTTATTTTCAATTTGCACGTAACTTTCAAAACAAGAAAATTCGTTTGAAAATGATTATACAGAATAGAAGATTACCCAGAATTATAGGTCAGATTTTGAGACGGTGCCATCGACAAGGTAAGTAGAAGTATAGTTCTCACATATTAGCTTCCAATTCAAAGTGCCTTTATAATTGAACGTCATTCATTAGCGGTTGAAAGCAACGCTAGAAAAGACAATTTAACAGCTTATTTTGGAAAATGGCCCGAAACGGAGCAGACGGAATTTCGCCAGCA